TGTGCCTGTGTGTGTGTGAGAGCATGCATGTGAGTCTGAGTGTGCACGTGTGTGTGAATGTGTGAGTCTGTGAGGGTGTGTGCATGTCTGTGAGAATGTGCATGTGTGTTTGTGAGAGTGTGTGAGTGAGTGTGTATGAGTCTGTGAGTGCGTGTGAGAGTCTATAGGAGAGTGTGTGTGTTAGTCTTTGATGGTGCGTGCGTGCATGTCATTTGTGAGTGTGTGCACCTGTGTGAGTGTGTGTGGGAGTGTCTGTATCTATGTGAGTGTGTAAGAGCATGTGTGCATACTTGTGCGAGTGAGGGTCCATGTGTGTGGAATTGTGTGAGTCTGTATGTGTGAGAGTGTGTGCGTGCACGTGTGTCTGCCCGTGTGAGAATGTTCATATGTATAAGACTGTATGAGTGTCTCTATGAGAATGTGTGAGTGTGTGTACGACCATGTGTGTGAACATGCATGTGTGTGAGTGTCTTATTGTGTTCACGTGTGCATATGTGAGCTTCTGGGTTTCTGTGCACATGCACTTGTGTGTGTGTGAGTGAGCGCATGCTGTTGACAGCACTTTGGGGCCATGCACCGCCTGTCCAAGCCTGGTTCCTGCTACCCCGCGTCCCATCTGTTTCTTCCCTGTGGGTCACCTTACCAAACAGTGAGCACTTGAACCTGCTGGGACCGGAGGTGGTTGGCTTGTTGACCCCAGGGTTGGACGGTGAGGGCCCAGTGGCATGGTTCCAGTCTCAGGCACCCGGTCTTCCTACTAGAACTCACCTCCCTGCTCACGAAAAGGACCTGAGAGTTCTGGAAAGTCCTAATTCTGAACTCTAATTCTTTCAAACATGAAGAGTGAAAAAGTCCAAGTAAGCCAACTACCAAAGAAACAGCTTTCTCAAGTGGTGTTTCTCTTTAAGGTGACGAGGGTCTGTGAGCCACCTTATTGTGGGTGACAGTGGCAACTGGTGCACCCTTCGTGGAAAGACAATTCGATAGTATGTTCCCAGAGCCTGGAAAGAGTTGATGTACTCTGACTCTGCGACGTGTCATAAGAGGAAACAATGAGGTGCAAAAATTTACAGACAAGGCTGTTCATAAACTACATGTATACATAAATCATATATGAAACACGTGTGTACATATATATGAAACCGAAGAATCGAGGACAAGCGAAATGTTCCAAAAAAGAGGAATGCTTAATAAATTATGGTGTCTCTACAGCGTGGAGACCACATAGCCATTAAAGATGTGTTTGAAGACTATTGAAGCATAAGCAATCTCACATATAGAATACATAAAATCTTAGGTACAGAATCTCAAACAGGTAAAATATTTGTATTTTATATTGTAAAATAGAACTCTCTCTGCCTAATAGATCGACTGCATGGAAATAAAACCAACTCCTAACAGTTGTCTTGGGGTGATAGGAGAGTATATAGGTGACTTATTTCTTGTACGTTGTTACATTTTTCAAATTTCCTACAATGGCCATATTATTGTCATACTCAGGAAAAACATTTAAAATGAAACAATTGTACAATTATTTAATACAATTCCTATTTGCCTACTTTGCTGAATTCTTTAAAAATTCATATTTTGCATTTATTTAGAAATTTTCACAGAAACGTCTAATATACAGGTCAGCAATTTTTCGCTCTCAGTAAATAACCATAGTTCCTACTTTCTCAGAATTTGGAAGCCCTTCTTCCACTTTGCTTCTCTGCATTTCAAAATGTTTTAATCAAGAATCCATTTCTTTCTCCTTACCTTGGAGGAAAAGATACCTCCATATTTTCAAGGCGAAGTCATTCGCCCACCATCGTGAGTCCCTGGGTCACTTTCTTTGACTATCGAAACACACAGAAACCCATCTCTCTTCCCTCTGAATTTGGCCTGCACACCTTAGCTGTGCGAGTCACCAGGTCCCTAGCATACACCTCTCCAAGTGTCATTGTTTTTATGAGCGCGTGCTTTGTCTCCCCGTAAGATCGGATACTCCTAGGAGGAACCCCTGTGCCTCTTGTTCTCTGTGTCCTTGTCAGCACCCGGCAGAGTTCTTTCACATGGCATATGTACAGTAAATACCTTTGATTGTTTGATTAGTAAACAATCAATGATTATGCTTTGCCCAGGCAGCAGTATATTATTTGGTGGGAACTATTTTTTGAACCGTGGTCAACCACCTGTGCTTGTGCAGTAAGTATCTGTTATTGCTTTCAACATGAGGAAACTGGTTCTGAGCACAAGGACCTGCCCAGGGGGCCCTGTGCAGGAAATGATTGATTTCGCTGGCAGTTTTGTTCTATTGGATTCTAGAATTTTCCATATTTAAAGAAGACCTTTCAGGTTCTATCTAACCCAAAGGGAGGCAAAGATCCTCTATTAGACTTTTAATTTCAAATGCGTGCCCTGTCCAGCATGTTTTTAAAAATGCCCCTTTTATGTAGATTGTAGAAGGAGCAAGATTGTGGCCTCGACCCTACCCGCTAGCATCATGAATTGGACTAAGGATAGAACGTAACCCAAAGCCACTCACACCAATGATTGACTATCTACTGATCAGATCCATTGCAGTTATTTGAAAACCCGACGTGGATTTTCAGGCGGCGGTGGGCACATGGGCTAAAAGGGGTCAGGGGCAAGACGATAAGACTGCGTGGGAGAAAATCAAGGAAGGACGAGAAAATCAAGCAAGCTCCAGCAAGATGACAGAGGTGGAAGTAGATTGTGTGGACGGAGAGGTCAACGGGGTGAGAAAGCAAAAACAGCCAACAAAGATATTACTTCCAAAAAGTCTGACAGTGAAAAGAGAAGAGAAAGAACAGACGTTAGCGGAACTTACGGAACGCCATCTATTATTTTAAGATGAGAGAGATCTTCCTGTAAAGACATTGGGAAAAATCCAGAAAGGGCCTGGGAAGTGAGGCAGGAAGACATCCAGGAGAGAGCGGTGACGTGGAAGACAGAGGAGGAGGGAGATTCACCAGGACCACACTCAGGGTGCCGGGTGCAGCAGGACAGGCGAAGGGAAGCGTGAGAGCTGAACACGAAGGTGGCGGAACCCTTATCTAGGGCAGTTTGGGAGGATCCAAGAATCATTCCAGTTAAGGAGGAACAGGTGGAGAGTTAAGAGCCATAAGCCCAGAACGTTCATCCAAGTTAGTCCAGGAAAGGAAAAGGGGCCCGTGGATGGAGATACTCGCAGAGGGTGTCTGTGCGGTTGTGTTTGTGTAGACGTGTTGTGTGTTTGAGATGGTAGAAACTTGAGCACGATTGTGCATTTCAGGCCAGGAGCCGGTGGGAAACTTAGGTTTGAAGCAAGAAAGAGGAGACGGTCGAAAAGAATGGCTCCAGAGGAAGCAGGCCAGGCTGCCGTCCGCAGCATCGACGTGGTAGACGAAGGAAAGGAGAAAAGTGAGGGCCAGACTGTTCATTCCTTTATTTCTTGCTTCATTTCCCAACTAGAGGTTGAATGCCTGCCACGTAACAAGAATTGTGCTGCGCTTGGGAATATAATAGTGAGCAAAACGATCGTTTCCTGTCTTAAAGGAACATATTCAAATGAGAGAGTCA